AAATACAAAAAATATAATACATTTAGAGGTCTGGCTGTAATAAGTGCAATGTAGCTCTTTGTAAACTTGGAAATTACTGGTACTTCTATTATCATAATATTTCTTAGTGGGGCTTTATACCTCTTAATGCGATTTTTTCTATTGGCCAGAACCCTAGCTCGGTACGAAAAATGGACCTTAACACATTCAAAGGGATGGGGAATATCTGCAGTCTGAGATCCCGGAGGGAGGGGTGATGGACGGTGGCTTCAGCACGATTTACTTCTGGAGGCAGGGCGGCAGTGGAGATTGGGCATGGCCAACACCCAGACACGAGAGCGGTGCCAAGATGGGCTTTGGAGAACGCCGCCGTTACGGAGATGGCAATAATGGTGAAAGAGTGAAAGACGGTGGTGGGCTTGTCAGGGGCAGGATTGCCTTTGACAGGCATTTGAAGGATTTGTTGGCGTCTGATGCAGGACTGTGATGGCGTTTTTTTTTTTTTTTTTTTTTTTTTTTGGGATCATCTTGTAGTTTTCGAGTCGTGTTGCACGCGTGCAGCATCTATTCCTCCTCTAATCAAGCAGTTACTGAATCAGCTGTGCTCATTTGTGTACACAAGATGCTCGTAACACGGCAACAAGCTTGACTCAACCTTTGGCCACTCTCAATAGGAACGAACTCAATGACAACGCTTTATCTCATTATAATCAGTTTGACTAATAAACGCTGACCTATCTATCCCAGTTGAACCTTGACCCCATTGTTCCCGTCTATAGCTGCCTGGTAACGAATAAAAAAAAAAGGAGGGGGGGGGAGGAAATGAACAAATACGTCGGGTACTCGCTCATTTCTCCCTCCACCAAGTGCAAAGATAGTTTGGCATTTCCATTGCATTACAGTCGTGCAAAGACCTTGCCAAAGATCTCCCTCGCCTTTAACAAGTTAACAACGCTCATGCGCTCATTGTCCAAGTGAGCAGAGTCACTAGCACGGCCGCAGGGTAAATGTGCTGCGGGTGCACCGAATTCCTTTTCCAAGAATCGAATGGCCGGGATAGAACCGCCTTCGCGAATATAGAGTGGCTGCCGTGGCTTTGATGACTTCGCTACCGAGGAAGCCTGCACATTTCCACCAGGAGAATCGCTCCGGTCAAAGCAGTCTGGCCACGCTTCAACGATAGCTTGTCCCAGAGTGCGGAATATCTCGTTGGTAGGGTCTCCCAGCCATGGTTCGGCCTTGTTATCAATATTAATGCTGAGTCTGTTCTGAGACTCGAGGAGCCCAAACTCGCGACGCAGGAACCATGACATCGCCTTGGAAACGTCCTCAACTTCTTGTCCAGGCACCAATCGTAGGCTGATGTGCGAGCTAGCATGGCTACTAACGAGGCTTCCATCTGGCCCAGATACTTTATATCGGTGGATGGTGAGGTTAGGCTCCCGCCATCTTGCCATGAGCGACTGTTTGAGCTTTTCTTCAGACACAGCCTGCGATTGATGATGTACCATGATGGAGGCAATCTCGTCATATCGCGCTTCCTCTTCAGGCGTAACAGGTGGAATGCCATCGTAGAATCCTGGAATTTGAATTCTGTTTCCAGGACCTTTCAGTTTGGATAGAACACAAGTTAGATCACTTAACGGTTCATCGGATAGATGAGATCCGTCCACTCCAGAATGAATGTCAGGCCGAGGAGAGTCAACGCAAATGGTGGCATGAAGCACACCACGAAGCCCATACGTTAAGCATGGGACTTCATCGTTGAGCCAATAGCTATTGGCCAGTAGGATATAGTCCACATGCCCAATAAGCTCCTTGTTCCGTTGCACAGCTTCTTCGAAACCTCGAGAGCCAAATTCCTCTTCGCCTTCAATCAGAAAGATGACATCGTTTTCTAGCTGCTGTGCTTGCATAAGATCTGTCACTGCATACAATGCCGCAATAATAGGCCCTTTGTTGTCACTCACTCCACGACCGTAAAGGAAGCCGCTGATCCCGGTGGCGGTGAATGGGTCCGTGGTCCACTTGCCTTTCTTACCATCGGCTGGCACCACATCGTAATGTCCGTAGAACAGTATACGTTTGCGTTGTTCCAAGGCCTCCTTCTTGCCCGAGAATTTGGCATAAACAACTGGGTTGTGGGCCTTTTCGGTGCTAAGCATTTCGACGTGGCCACCTAGGCGTTTGAAGAGTGACCCTAGAAAAGTGGCGCCTCGGCGGCAATCCTCAGCGTATTCAGATCGAGATGACACAGTTTTGTAAGAGACGAAGTCACTCAGTGTTGATAGCAGCAAGTCGTTGCTCTTCTCTGCAGGGCTCGGTTTCAGAGACGTCAAGTCCTTGACGGACCATATTGCAATGTCGTTGTCATTCGCGCCGGTAATGTAATATGGCTCCGACTTATGTGTGGTAATTGCAGAAGCTAGGATCTTGCCCTGATGCGCTTTCCACTTTCCAAGACACTGGTACTTTTGACTGACATGTCCGGATGATACATGGCCATGAGCACAGTAATGCGCTGTGCTGTATTTCTGTGCCGCTGTTAGAATACCAGTTTAGCCCCGAAATAAAAGAGACTACTTACACTAGCCCATCCGTTGGTTGAACCAGCCCAGAGGCATCCCCATCCCATTTGTAGTGACATGACGTCTCCTCCAGGGGCTTTAATCACCCTTAGCCTCTGAGTTGTGTCCAAATCCCATAGCTCTACTATGCCATCGAGCTTCCCAGCATATAGGAATGAGCCGTCAAGGGCAATTGATAGAACTGACTCCGCATCATCAGTGCCTAACGTCATAATTTCCTCGATGCCACCGTCATCTTGGTCGGCATGACCACGGCCGTTCCTATTTGACCCAGTCAAGCTCCAGAGCTTGATGGTACCATCGCCACCGCCCGAAATAAGAACATCATCATCTGCATCCACTTCAACTGTTGGACCTTGTGCCATCAGCATGCAGTATACGTAGCCATAGTGCGCAAAGTGACGGATGCTTCCGCTGTCAATCTCAAGAACAGCCTGTGCTCGGGGTATGAGAGCCCATCGATCTTCGCTTCTTCTCGGTGTAGTACCACCTCCAACAGCCTTTGAGTCGAAGAATCGATGACTTCTTCGGTCTGGATGACTTTGTGAGTCCGGGGATGCCCTCCTGGAAACATCACCAAGTCCCACCCATTGTATGGTCGTATTCTGGGCTCCAATATAGAGTGTGTCGTGCTGTGCGCTGTAAGCAGTGCAGAAAATATCGCCAACATCGTGCACGCCGTATATCTCGTAGAGGCGACGCAGAGTCTTGGGACACCAGACGTTTATGACGGCATCACCAGCGCTGGAGAAAAGGAGCGACGAATCGGGAGAAAGAAACAGCGACAGAATACATCTCTTATGTGCTTGGACTTGGCGAAGCTGATGGAACGTATCCAGGGACCATACAACAATTTCGCCATCTTGAGTGCCTGCGTATATGGAGTCGTGCTTCGAGCTGACGGCGACGGCGAGGACTGTGCTGTTGTGTTCGAGACTATGCATAAGCTTGGGGGTCTCTTTCGTGGTTTCGGGTGTTTCCAGAGCGTTTGAAACTGAGGACGAGAGAGATTCCTGTGCTCCAATAGAGGCCATGGTTGCTAGATGCAGCGACACAGCTCTCTGGTTAGCTTGGCTGTGACGGAGGTGGTCGGGGCCTTGATCGCATTCCAAAGCTTCTGTCCAACGACAGCTTCCTCCTCGAGTTCAATTAAATATGAATCGATAAGATACAGGGGAGACGGCGTTCAAATTTCTATGCGATGGGCTGCCTGAGGAGTTTGAATTGAAAAGAGACCAGGACTAAAAGGTGAGGGAAGGGAAAAGGAATCAGAGGAAGGTAAAGTTAACAAGTGACTCTTCAAAGTTGCGATGGCGTCAATTCAATGGCGTGGCATTGGCCCACCCCACAAGGTGCGAAGTCGGCGGGGCAAGAAGCTCCTTCCAGATGTATGGCCCCAGGTGCCGTCTTTTTGACAGCTCTTGCCCCCCCTGTCTCCCGCTATCCGGCACCGGTTGACTTAGCCGCAGCCTGAGGAAGGAGCCGAGCCACTGACTATTGCAGGAGGCCAGTCACAACTGATTCTTGGTTTCAACGTGGCCCCAGTTGCTTGCGACTCCAAACCACACCGCTCCTTTCTCTGGTGATACTGGAACGTGACATAAAGATCATCTGAATAAACTCACCGAATACATTGCCAGGCAGATTTTTCTCATCCACAGCTACGACCGGTCGCTGTTCTCGGCCTCTTGCTTCTTCAAATCGAATTCTGTCACAGCCGCCACAGCCTCCACCTGACACCCAGGCAGACTCGGAGTCGGATGTCGTTTTGGCGGCCGTCATCTCGCCGTCTCGTGGTGATTTCCAATCAAGATTTCAGATCAAAGAAAATTTAAGGTCTACCATTTCCTTGGGAACGGGAGATTCGGCAGTCCCTCTTTATGTACGAAGCACACATCTTGGGCCAGGCCATGGTCCTTGCGGGTCAGAATGCCTATGATTCTGCTCTGACCTTTGTGCTCCGTGAAATGCCAGTGGCTGAAAACGCGCTGGGCTTGACTTGATGACCTTATCCTTGTCGATCTGCCTCAGCGTCCGCTTAGTCAGGGACTTTGCATGCTCATGTTCTATCACTGGCTACAGAAGTGATAAGTTATAATTTATTAATAGTAAACGAAACGGAGACAAACAGTACCCAATGTACTTTTCTCCCTGCGTCACTACGTTCCCGGTTTCTCTGAAGAATGTCCTCGCAGGTTCGTTGCTCACAGAAGTATGGCCTAATTATTGACATGTTATAGGTCTTGGCAATAGTTAAGACTTTACGATGCTATACTATACAGGCCACATGTATGTCTTACTAGTTGGTATGTAAAGGTCAAACTGTTTATCATTATTCACGTGTACATTGGTCGCTCAAGTTCTGCAGGCTGGATGTGACCCTTCTATATCGCGCTTCCGAAAGTTGAGTCGCCCTACCTATCGACCCTACAATTAGTCCAAAAGAATATCGAAACTGAACTCATGATCAGTTTTCAACGAATACCGCGGCAGAGTCCATGGGCCGCACGAGCCAGTACCCAACCCATGGTGTACCCAGTCAAGTCTTACAACCGTGTCGTCGCGTTTCCGCTTGTGCAGCTCATACGGATGCGTGCAGCTGTCAATATCCTTTGTTGAGTAATGCATGGCTGAAAAGCTTGCACCATCTAGATCGCCAAAATTGGCCCTCAGAAGACGCCCCGTGGGCCCGAGAATCTCAACCCAACGAACGTCGGTCCTGTTCCCACCGTCCTGAGGAAACTCGTAATCAACCCACAGATGGTCAACAGTCGACTCCCAATTTCCGAATAATTGGGAGTATTTTTTATCTCGATATGACTCGCCCGGGCCGCGGCCCCACCATTTCGCTCGGTCTGCCCCAGCAAGGCCCAGGGTGATACCGATCCGTGCAAATGTCGATGGCAGACCCAAGCCGTGTGGCTTTCCTTTGACATTGATGGCGAGCGACTCTCCTCGGAAGTGATACGTCCATATGGTGTCAACCGCCCACAGAAGAGCAGGAGGGGCGATCCTCTGTTTTATTTCCACCGTAATGCCATCCTGGACTTCGCGGAATTGAACCTGCTTGACATGCGTAGATGTTTGATGCAGTCTGCTGTCTATCCACTCTCGCCCATGGCCGCCGCGATCGTTGTCCGTCAAAGCACGATAAAAGTCCATGGTAATGGGCTGGCTGATTATTTCAGGAGTGGGATTGTCTCTACGTTTCCAACTTACAAGGGTGCCTGTCGCCGTGTCTATAGCCCATGTTGAGCTCCCGGACGCAGAAGAAATGTTAACATGCGAGTCTGACGCCATTTGCAAGGTTGATTTCGGCATCGGCGGCTCAATAGACTGAATAGCATTGACAGACAACGGTCGCGACACCCGGAGCTCTCCGGTGGCAACTTGGTGATTAGCAGGTGCCCAATTTGTCTCGTGTTTCATTTGAAATTTGAGTTGCAAATACGCTTCGCCATGCACCTCTTTCAACATTCCGTTGTGAAACCCCTCGGCCGTCACAACAGCCTCCGTATGTGGGCTTATACCTAGGACGCGACGTGTATATTAGCATTGCGTTTGAAATGATATGCCCTGTTTCCCCCTTTTCTCCCACCATTCCGTTTGCTCTTTTTTTCTTCAAATCATTTTTTTTAAAGAATGCCCTCCTTACCTGTAGGTATTTTGACTCGGCCACCTGCAAATTCTTTCCCGTCAGAAACGATAGACCAAGTTGCGAACAAATGATCTAGCGCTAGAAAGTCATAACGATTCGCAACTGTAATGTTGTGGTGATGTAGTGACAGTGTTTGAACCGGCTCGATCGACTTGGCATACTCGGCAATATTGGAACTCACCGTATGCTCAGAGTACAATAAACCGTCCATGACAAAGTTGTAATCGTTAGGTTCGTCTCCAAAGTCGCCACCATACGCCATAAACTCCTCCCCATCTTTAGTCTTGGTTCGAAGACCCTGCTTAGTATTAGCAATGCCAGCTTTTGAACTACAACAGCCGTGGATGAGCCCTTACATGATTGGCCCATTCCCATACAAAGCCGCCCATCAGCCTTGGATGCTTGTAAAACAAATCAATATACTCCTTGGCATTGCCCTCCGAGTTGCCCATGGAATGCAAAAATTCGCAAAGCACTAGTGGTTTCTTCCAGTCGCGTTCTTTGGCAACTGACTCGACATAGTCGACATCAGGATACATGCGACTATATATGTCCGCCGTCTGCGCGTTCCAATCACCCTCATAATGAACCAGCCGGGTATTATCCATGGACTTGATAACGTCGTACATGGCCTGGTGATTTCGTCCATAGAATGATTCATTCCCAAGCGACCACATGATGACGCACGCGTGGTTCTTATCTCGGGCAACCATCTGTCGTGCTCGATCGACATACTGCTCTTTCCAAGCAGGATTATCAGAGGTGTAGCTCGCCGCGTCGCCGCCCACTGCCCCGAAACCATGACACTCCAAGTCCGCTTCGTCGAGGATCCAAAGGCCCAGTTCGTCAGCCACGTCGTACAAACGCGGGTCGTTTATCTGGTGGGATGTGCGAATGGCATTGATGTTGTACTGCTTCATGATGAGCAGGTCCCGACGCATAAAGTCGTACGGCACTGCACGACCATGGTCCGGGTGGTGCTCGTGCCGGTTGACGCCTCGGAGCTTGACGGGACTCCCGTTGATGCAGAATACCCCGTCTATCAAGCCCGTCTTTCGAAATCCGACGCGGTGAACCAGACTGCACTTGGTGCCGTCAAGAAAGTTGAGCACCAGGGTGTATAGGTACGGCGTCTCCGCGGTCCATTTGTGCGGGTTTGGGACGTCAAGTTCGAACTCATCCGAGCTGGAAACCTTGATTGTATTCGCGACAACTTGCTCGTGCGTCGTAGCATCAAGGAGCTTCAGTTGGACGGCACAAGACGCGCTGACGTCGACTTTGACGCGCAGCGTTGCATTCTCGAATCTGTCGTCCAAGTCTGTGACGACGTGGAAGTCGACGGGGTGTACTTTGGGAAAGGCATGGAGGTAAACGTCTCTGAAAATGCCGCTGAGCCACCACTCATCTTGGTCCTCAATGTAGCTCCCGTCGCAGCGCTGGTACACTTCCACGGCCAGGCGATTCTCTCGGCCGATTTGAATATGCTCCGTCACGTCGAACTCACTAGGATTCCGAGAGCCCTGCGAATACCCAACTTCCTTCCCATTAAGCCATACTGTGAATGAGGAATCTACCCCTTCGAATCGCAGCCGCAGCTGGTGATTTGCAAACGACCCATCAACCTCGAACGAGGTCACCTATCGACCACACTCGTTCTCCTGGTACGAAACATTGGGCGGATCTACCGGCCACGGATACAGGATATTGGTGTAGTGCGGACCCTTTCCGAATCCTTGGAGTTGCCACATTCCCGGGACGACTATATCCTTGAAAGAGGTGTCCTTGAAGTCCGACTTGTAAAAGTCGCGCGGCCCGTCGAATGGTGACTTGGACCAGTGGAACTTCCATTTCCCAGAGAGACATTGCGCTTTGGCTTTACCAACGTCCCTCGTGAGCGCGGCTGCTTCGGTGTCGTAGAGGTAGAAGTTGCTTCGGGGTGGGAGAGTGTTGCGATGGACGACGTGGACATTGCTCCAGTCCGGGAGGGAGCTTGGATGAGATGGTGGAAGCGGCATGTCTACTGTGAAGAACTGTATATGACTAGGGGCCACTGAGAGTTGTGTAAGTTGGAACCGGGAGGGAATTTGGGGTGCACATGGAACAGCTGCTTTTCGCGAGACAGATTGGCTATTAATTCATGGGCGAGTACACAGTGCCAGTTGGTGCAAGTTGTTATAATGGCGAAGTATCTCGCGTGACGTGGATTCAAGACGGGATGACACGGTCACGGCCTCAGGAGGGGAGATGAGAATAAATTATAGGAAAGTCAGCGTCGACATGAAGATGGCTCGAGTTGCAGGTTCGATGAGGAGGTTGAGGGGTAGCTTTTGAGGATGGAGGGTCATGGTTCGACTTGATTGGAACACACGCGGCCAAGCTTCGAGATTTAGGCCAAGTCCACATGACTTCATCAGTTTCCAGCTACAGCTCGGAATGAAACACGACTTCTTTTCATCCCTGTGCTTTGTACAACTCGCCAATTGATGTCGGGTTGCATCTCGGCTCGCTCATATGCACACTTTGGAAATACCACGAGACAGCTTTCGCAGCTTGACGGCGTTGCACGCGTACGCAGGTGCATGAGGTTGAACACGAGTATAACTCTTGTGAATACTCCAACTTGTCCATTAGGAGCGAATTCGTCCCAGTGATCCATGATGAGCACTTACACGCGTATCCGTAGGCTACCAGCTCCGCCGTGAGACAGCAACGATTCACCCAGCATCGACGGCGTCCATCGGCACAGAGACGCCGAGGACAACTCTCAACATGATAGCAACGGTCATCCAGGCTCCAGAATGGCCTGGCCACATGGTCAAGCCTCTCATATTCCTCGCCGGAACCACAACGCCAACGCCAGACGGCGACTGGCGTCAAAAACTCATCAATCGTCTCTCTCAGTACCCCGTCACGTTCCTCGACCCGACCAACAAGAACTGGGACTCTACCTGGACAGAAGACTTCTCCGACATTCGCTGGATGAGGCAAATCAGATGGGAGCTACACCTGCAAGAGCAAGCTGATATCGTCGTGGTCTTCTTCCATGAGAGCACTCTGGCGCCAGTCAGCCTGCTGGAATTGGGTATGCATGTCCGGTCGGGAAAAGTTATAGCCTGCGCAATGCCGGGCTATGCGAAACGCGGAAATGTTCAGGCTGCCTGTGGCATGTACGATGGTGAATTTGTGACCAGCGAGGAGGAGTTGGCTCAGGCCGTTGAAAGCAGGTTGAGGGACCGATTCAAGCTTAGCAATATTGAAGCTACTGCCGGGTTTAGGGGTTATTGATTGATGAAGGTCTCCTCGAAGACAACGTACCCATAATAGACAAGATACCCAAGATTTCTACCAACTTGGAAGGAATACGGCATCTCTGCACCAGCTGGAAACGTTCATCATCGTGAATTTTGTTGGAAGCCCACTGGTATTGACTAGTATCTTTAAAACGCCAGCAGAAACGGGTCAAGGTAGAGTAATTTTTAATCAAGATGTTATAGCTACAACACTTAACAAGAATAATGTCGAGTTGCAGGTTACATGCTTCAACCACCCCGACTAACTTTCCAGCGTCTTGGAGCTGTCTCGGAGAGGATGACATATCAACACTTGTCTGTTCAGTAGAGACCACTTACCTACATCATAAATGAGCTTGTAGCAACCTTGGGCTTCTCATAAGCAGAGCCATCATTCATTCATTGCTATCGGACCAGCATTTATATTTGTTCTTCTGCAACTGAGCATCTCACCAAGCCTTGTATGCAACTGAATCTTGCAGACAGTGCAGCCATCGCTCAAGCAAAGGTACCCTTCTTCAAGACACCATCTTATGACGCTTCTCTAAAAATTCCAATTGAAGACACTGGCCCCTTTCTACTCCATTGCGATGACTTTCAGCCTGGTGAACCAGACGCATTGTAGGTCAAGACGGCACTGATTTCGAGCATATCAGTGCGTGCCTGCCTATTTCGGCTCTGATCGTTACGAGAGTACCCTGGTGATTTCCGACACGGGACGCTTGAAATATATGACCCGGCAGAGGCAATGGTGTACCTACACGAGTATTTCCAAATGAGGGGATTCTGAAATTTTCAGAAGCAAAATATTCGACAGTGGTGTGAGCAATTCAACAACGCTTCGGGAGATGAGAGATTGCGAGAATTGGACGAGGCGCACTATTGGGCGTACGCACGCCAGTCGACAACCCGGCGTGCGTAGTCCTGCTCAATAGAATGTAACTTGCCAGCAAACGGGTAGCTCATGCACAAGGTGCTAGGAGCTATTTTGCAATACATAGAATAGTAGCGGAGTGGATCGTACTATAGTAGTAGTATGCTCAGCTTCTCCTGAAATAAAATGGATGTGCGGCTGCCATATAAGAGTAGTTTTCCTGGAGAAATCCCGGGATGCCCTATAGTCAGCAAAGGAATCCAAAGGAATAAAGTTGCGCCCGTCATTATCCCAAGGTGGAATTACAAGCGTCTTGGGCGCCGGGGTCAACCCAGACGGGCTCCTTTTCGTACCGCGGCTCCCCCGACTGCCGCTCGTGGACCATGTCCTGGGTGTAGATTGGAGATGCGTCACGAGGTATCCGTGATCCAATCCTCCTGTTGAAGGCGGAGCACAAGAGCCCTGGTATGGAGGCAAGGCAGGCATAGCGTTACATGCGAGTCGGGGGCATCGAAGACGGCCAAGTTGAGTGGTACCTGAACGCCTCGATCTCATTACGAGTTTCAATATATTGGTCAACAACAATGTACTCATAAGTTCGGTAGAGCGCGGCTAGAGACGTATCCTTTTCAGGATCGACACTTCAGTTGGCGTTGCGATTGAGGAGTGGGATTTCGCACCGGCTCGATTTGCGAGTTATGATCCTGAGAGGTAAGCAGGATAACTGAGGCTCACAGCCCGTTTCTTCCGGAAATAGATGACCCAGGGAGTTTTCCATCGCATCGTTCGGTCGCGCTTTGAGGGGGTTCTGTTATCAGCTTGCCTTGAATACATATTATTGAACAGGCGTGACCTCCAAGTTGCGAGTTGACGGAGTAATTCTAGACTGTTGGGAGCGGCAGAGAACATGATGCCAGTGTTGAATCTTATATGCACTGTGAGAGCCTGTGCTGATTTCCTCACTAGGTCGCAGCTAGTCCATGTATACACATGAGATGTCGACACGGAGTACAAAGCACCTAGCCATCGGCGACTTCTTCCATCTGAAGTTGCCTGTCCCGCACACAACATGGGCGGCGTTCAAATTTCATGAGCATGAATCTTTGCTCAAGACACATTTTGTGCCAACTTTCAACTTGGACTTGTCCTCGCCTGAGTTTAGACAACGATGGTGCCTGCTACTGACGGATTCAGTGGCAAGAAACGCCACTCTGTGATAGAGCTTGGGATTTAGAAACACAGGCGAAGGAGGTAAGGAGCGCAAGGAATGATGGTTGGGACATGGAATCCCTCGTTATACTTGCTGAAAGCATGTTACCAGACGCAAAGCACATTCAGACAAACGTGTGTCTAGATCAGAATGTTGCGCCCAATCCGGATTCACGAGGAGGATTTCGTTGTACATGGGTGACAACGATGTGGCCTGCAAGTTCAATAATCCGTGCGGGGACCCAATGAGTTAATCGACACCAGTGACCAGACCCTTCTGCGACAAATTGTGGCTCACCACTTTGGCATTTTCGGCCATTCGACCAGGTAGACCAGACTTGACATGTCAACTGGTTGGACCCCACACTCTGCTGCCACTTTTCTGCCAACCTTCTACTACTACCACCACTACGACTTGACCGGGGTAGCAACAACCACCTCTGCGTGGCATCCAAGCCTGAGACACCAACTCGGTTCTCCCTTTGTTTATCGCCTCTTTTGCGAGAATACCTTGCACTGCACTCCGCATTGGTGTCACTGCAAGTTCGCTGCAGCTTGTTTACAATGGAGGACCAGTTCGGCGGCCGAACCGATGATGACCTCTTCTACGACGACTTCGAGCCCGTCGACAGCGAGCCCATCGTGGTCCAGGAAGAAACGCAGTACATTCAGGAACCCTCGCCTGTTGCTTCTGGTGTGCCTGTAGCTCCAGAGCCTGCACAAGCAAGACAATCCAGGCCCACGAAGTCGTCGCCACCCGCTCAAGCCTCGAACAACAATGCGCCGTCCCCGTCGCCGTCACCATCGCAGTCACCGTCACAGACACAACCACAGACCCAGCCCCAGTTCAAGGGCGGCAACTTGTCCTCATCACGCTTCGCTCGCAAGGGAAACTTGAACATGAGGCAGCAGTCTACGCCGCCGCCACCAGCAGCAACTAAATCATCTGCGCCACACAAGGAATCTAAAGACAAGGAACAGGGCCAGGAAAGAGAAAAGGATACCAAAGGCGACAAGGAAAAGGACAGCACTCCACCACCCAATGCGCCCACAGCTCCTGCCAAGGATAAGAAATCTCACGCCCCTCCACAGAATACAGCTGCGAATGCAGAAGCACGGCTTCAATCCGGCGCCAACCCGCGTCAGAAACTCACTGAGGAGGAACTTGCCGCCAAGATGGAAAAGATGAAACTGCTGTCAGCAGAAAAGACACGCCAGTTCGAGAGAGCCGAAAAGGACGAGCAACAGCATGCTCAGGCGTATGCCAGGGGCATGGAAGAAGCCCGCAAGCGCAGAGCAGAAGAAGCGGAACGAAGACGCCGGGGAGAAGAGGAGAAACGCAAGCTCGATGATGAACGTGCAAAGAATCGTGAGCGCAAGCTCAAAGCCATGGGTATGAAGGAAGGTGGCTGGGACGAGGGCAAGGAGGCCATTCTGGAGGAAGAAGCCAGAAGGGTTTTTAAGGGAGCCAACGGCGGTATCAGAGGCACGAAGCGTGGCGGTCTCGCAGGAAGTCGATATTCCCGAGAAGTAGACGATCAACCCGACGTGGACCGCTTCCTGGATGACCGGCAGCGCAGCAGGGGAAGGGGACGCGGTGGACGTGGAGGCGGTCGCGGACGAGGCGGTGGTCGAGGAGGGTTCGATGGCTCAGCGCCGAAACCAAATGACAGCAGTGCACCGGCACCTTCTCTAACTGTGGAAGATTTCCCAGCACTGCCCTCAGATGGAACCAGGAAGCCAACTGGACCGGTCGCGCCCGTCGCATACCCTCCAAAAGCCGCACCAGCCTCTATCCCGACCTTACCATCACCACCTCCTGCTGGCGGCAAATGGGACGATGAGATGGAGGCCCTGGATGAGATTAGGCAGCAAGGGGAATCATAGCTGCTATGGGACAGAGATCACAGGCACAATAGAATGAGTGGGCAATTATGGGACATGGGTAAAAGTGTTATGACACATGTATGATTTGGATACCTACCTCTATGCTGGGAGAGCAAAAGAACAAAAGGATGCGTGATGGGCGGGAGCAATTGGATAGATGTAATCAGAAGCGGCAAAACATAACATGCATGAATATGTGAATCGCTTGCGGGACCAGCCCAAAAGCAGTTGGCATATCAAGCCGAAAATTCTCTCATCACTCGCTTCACGGCCGATACGCACGAGCTCAAGTTGGTCCAAGTACAATGAATCTCCTATATCGAAGGGTATTTTCCTCCCTGAATGCATCTTCTTCAGGTAACGCCAGAGTTGATATGCGACTCGCCCATGAAACCCCAGCAAAGTAATCTACTCCGTAAGCGCAACAAATGTAACAATATTCGCCTCTTAAACGCCAAACACCCTGGTCTGCTACAAGATTGCTCATAGACAAAAAGACGATCCCCCATCGCAGTCGCATACCCTTCACCACCGTCGGCCTCCCCTTCCGCTCCTATAGCCTCCAGCCCTCGGGCCCCTAGGTCCTCCCATCCCTCCTCCGGGACCGTCATCCCCATCCATCATACCCTGTCTCTGCCTACTCTTCAACTCCCTCGGGAACGCATCGTACGTCTTCCGCATAGACGCATACCCCAAATGCATCTTGCCATAAAAGTGATCCGCTAGCCGGCGATCGTTATCTAACCTACTTAGATATGCGCCACAGACATCGCACACTTGCAGCTTCTGGTGGCCAGAGGGGCCAGAGGTATCGGACAGCGCCTTGAGCTCTTTTTCCTTTTCGATTTTTAGCTGCATGGTCTGTTTGATGCGGAAATTCTCATCGACGGCGCGGGAGACTTCGTTCATGGAAGCGAGGACTTCGATCTCCAGTTGGCCGTTGGCTATTGAGGCCGAAAGCTCAGAGATGGTTTTCAGCTATTGCCATGGTCAGCATTGTGGCGCTCCCAACACATGCAACGCAGATTAGGATGGAGGCATAATACCAAAACATTTGTTTGTCGGATCTCATCAGGCGTCTTCTCGAGCCTCTTTTGCGCCGCGTCGATTCGCCGATTGCAATCGTCAATGTACTTTTGCAGGTCGCGCATGTAATCGTAATCGAATCCATATCTTTGCTTCTCCCGATCCGACAAGGCCTCGTACTCGGCTTTCAACTGTTCAGAGTGCACCTTTGGACACTGGCCCAGGTCCTGCTTTGTGTTGGTGAAGAGGTCGTGCGGACAGGTGCCTACAAGATAGGACCGGCAAACTTTGGGATCTGTGAGGGAGAGTTGAGCGGCGCGCGAGGTGGACTGGTGGCCCATGAGCTGCTCGAGGAGCTTTCTTTGCTCGGCGGCCATGATTTCTGGATTCGCAACAGATGGATTATTATGTACAGCAGTGCGAGGCGCGAGCTTGGCCGACGGTATTGATATGATATTTGTGGCCACTGGTGAGCCCTCTCTTCGGAGCTGCCTCAGTCTCTGGTAGACTGGATGTTCTGCCCCATCTCACCGCCTGCCAGGGATCCACGTTCCTGCCCAGGTCAAGCCACCCCTCGAGCTCGAGCCCAGGATTAAGCAATCAATAATGTCCAGTTGCTCCATGTCGCCTGTCAGCATCTCCAACTTTATTAGAGTCGTGATACTTTCTTGACCGGGACCCTCAACTCTCATAAACTTGGCGCGATATACGCGACATGTCCATGTTACTGCAACCGCACAGATAGTTCCATTCTTTGACTATCTGTATTAATTAATTTCCTTTTATTCCCTTTTTTTTTTGTTTAGCCATTTCAACCCAGCCTCGCCTTCGTCGTTACATAGATACATACAAGATTCGCGAGATGCGTCCTTGTCTGACGCCTTTACTGGCATCTCTTGTCCCCGGACTCGCCGCCGCCGCCGACTACCACGAGCTACTCACATTGCGCCCATTGCCACTCTCCCAGCTTCTTGCAAGCTTTAATTTCAAATCAAATACGTCCATAGCCGACTTTGAGGCGCACAACTTCCGATTGTTCCCCCGGTCACTCGGCCAGATCCTCGAGTATGCGGGCACACGAGAGCTCCATCTGCGGTTCACATTGGGACGGTGGGATGCAGAGACATGGGGGGCACGACCTTGGGACGGCACAAAGGAGGGCGGCACTGGTGTTGAGTTGTGGGCGTGGATGGATGCTGAAACCGACCAACAAGCAGATGAGAATTGGCTGACCTTGACGAATGCCCTTTCAGGGTTGTTTTGCGCCAGTCTCAACTTCATTGACGGGACGAGAACTGTACGACCAGCTCTTTCATTTCAGCCAGAGGGTCATCATTCGAGCGAGACGTTGGCCAAGACGCGATTGTTACATGGCGTTCTGCCTCATGAGGTGGTGTGTACGGAGAACTTGACGCCTTTTCTGAAGTTGTTGCCATGTCATGGGAAGGCAGGCATTGCAAGTCTATTGGATGGTCACAAGTTGTTCGATTCATCATTTCAGAGCATGGCAATCGACGTGAAGCCCATTTGTGACAAGAGCGGCGATTGTGTGCTGCAGATGGAGCAGACGATTGACACGGTTATGGACGTCAACCGATCCAAGAGGCCAAGGGGTATGTCACTGCAAGAACACGACACAACTCCTTACATAGACTAACCATATGTGCAGACAACCCTATCCCAAGACCGCCTCCTACTCACGAACTAGTCTGCGACACCTCCAAGTCCTACCACGACGATGATCATTGCTTCCCAGCGGACCACCTCAACGGCCAAGACTGGACGCTTTCTCAAATCTTTGGCCGTCCCATGAAAGGCACATGTCCTCTTGCCGACGCGCAAGTACCTCCCGTGTGCCTCCAAGTCCCCGATTCACGAGTCGTCTACGCTTCCGAAGGGTCCACCGAAATCAAGGATAAGAATGGCACGTCCAGATGCTACACAATCCCACCCCAAAGCGAATTCGCTCTTGTGCTCCCCAAATCCGAAGCCAAGACCCCCGAGGAAGCAGCAAAGGAACTCGTCGAACCCGTACAGCCCCTCCTCTACGCAGAGCGCAGCTTCACTGGCCACGGCCAGGAACACGGCGGCGTCCAAGCCATCCTCACCAACCCCAACACCGTAGAAGTCGAATTCGTCTATCTTGAATCTCTCCCCTGGTTCATGCGCATCTACCTACACACTTTGTCAACCCGTATTTCATCTTCGGCTGCTCCGACGACCAATTCCTCCGAACTCATCAAGCAGATCCATTACCGTCCTGCGCTGGACCGCTCCCGCGGCACCCAGCTCGAGCTGCTGATGCGCATCCCACCGAGATGCACTGTTTTCCTCACATATGACTTTGAAAAGGCCATCTTGCGGTATACAGAGTACCCGCCAGATGCCAATCGCGGCTTTGACGTCGCAGCGGCCGTGATTCGCACTCTTGAGCCCCAAGTTATGAATCTCCGTACGACGAGCTTACTCCTATACCTGCCCACGCCGGACTTTAGCATGCCGTACAACGTGATTATCTTCACATCGACGGCTATTGCACTTGCCTTTGGCGGGCTGTATAATATCCTTGTGAGGAGGTTAGTCGGTGCGGACGAGGTCGCAAGTCCCATGGCAAAGTGGAAGAAGTTGGGGAATCTATTGAGCAAGTTTCAGAAGAAAGAGGTTGTCAGGCAATAAAATTACTTGAAGGTAGGCATAATATAATTTCCTTTTTTTGTTTTATCAGCATACGGAACGGGGTGATGAATCATGCGGTGTGATTTCTTTTTTTTTTGCACGTATACTTTGTACCTTGTGAGTGGTGATGAAGGGATTCATGACTTTACAGGACAAATACATAGCTCGCCATGGCCGATGCATTGAAAGAAGCTAAAGTTGTCCAAAACGCTCATCCAGACATTGCATCATGTCACGGCCTATACGCAGATCATATCGTCTCAGCCATATATATATACATATTGATGTTTATATACCTTTGAGGGTGGGGAAAATATACAGAGTCCATAATCCTCGTCAGACGCACCGGTCTCTTCATCTGTTCGAATTCACGCGGCCTGCGCCCCCTTAACCGCACACCGAAACCTCGCGCCTCTCCCAATGCTGCGCAATAAATCCGCTCACACTCGCAGACAGAAATGCTTCCTTGCTCACCAACGACATTGCCCTCTGCGACCCCCGGCGCAGCAGACTCAGGACATGACGTGCGCTTTTTAGCAACCGGCCGGGACGGTGAAGTCCTCGACGCGGTTGCGACCACCGTTGTACTTGGCCTTTTCGCCGAGGCCACGCTTGGCAAAGCCCTTCCAGAGCAAGCATCTATTGGCGGCGCCAGTGAGCCTCTTGTCGGCGTCGAGGATGGCGTCCCGGGCAGAAACCATGTTGGGTTTGCAGGGCTGGATAGCCAGGCCGCCAATGACGAGCTTCATGGCGAGGAAGCGACCATCCGTGGGGACGCCCTTGTCATCAAAGGCAGGGTACTTGTCCGCGGTGATGCCGTGCTCGTCAACAAGGTTCCAGAAGACCTCGTAGAGGGTGTTGGCCCAGATCTCGCCCATGGCGTGGACCTCGTTCTTCTCGTTGGCGGCGGCGTACGTGTAGGGGTTGGTCTTGATGTTGGTGGAGTAGGGGCGGGATCGGATGCCCCTGGGGCTATTGTTAATCCAAGTGCCGACGGTAAAGTCCCTGGCGCGCGTGTCGTTGGCCTTGGCGAGGACGGCAACGGCCATGAAGTCGGACCAGCCCTCGCCCATGCCTCCGGACTCGAGGGCGTTGAGGCAGGCCGAGTTGGCAGGGCCGCCGGTCAGACGGGTGGACAGGCCGTGGGTGTACTCGTGGATAACGACGTCGGAGTCGAGGGCGCAGTCGCGCTGGGGGTTGGCCTTTGTCCACATGAACATTCTCATGCGGGCGCGGGCGCCGTCAGGAGGCGTGGCAAAGTTGGCATTGTTGGTACCGTTGCCGTCCTGAGAGTTGAGGACGACAAAGTCATTGCCCTTGCCTCCCTTGCCGTTGTTATTGGTCTGGAAGTTACCGGCGGCCTCGTTGAAGCCCAAGGTGTAAAGCAAGTCGTGATAGGTGTTGGAAGTGTAGAACAACTGAGTGATGGAGGCATCCTGGTACTCGTCCTTGTTGGACTGGGCAGGGGAATAGCTGTACTCAAACGTGCGATTGGAGGAAGTCGGGCGGTAGCTTTTGGCAAAGTCGTTGATGTTGTTGTGGCCATCATGGTTGGTCTGGGCAACGGCATTGTTGCCCCAGAGCGTGGTGTAGTTCTGGACGCCATCGCCGAACCACGTGAATGGAGAGGCATTGACGTTCCATGGGTCGGTCTGGACGGAGCGATCGCCTTCAGTAGGGTCGTTGATAGTCCAGGGATAGACCTGCAACGTGGCAAAGTCAGAGACGTAGTCGACAACGCCGTGAACGTCCTTGCTGTTGTCGGCATCAATATAGGTCAACAGCCAGTTGTCCATGACATCAGTCTCGACTCGCCAGGCCAATGCTAGGGAGCCATCCTCCTTTGTGAGGTAAACCAGCTTGGCCTCGGGATCACTGACGGCACCCGAGGTGCCTTTGAAGGTGTAAGTCTCAGCACCTTCCTTAGCCTCCGCCGTGGCATCGGTGGGATTGACAGGGAGCTCAAGGATATCGACAACACCCTTCAGAGCGTTGAGGGGATCGGTAAATCCACGCTTTTGGATGGGGCTCTCAGAAGGCATCTCGCCCTTGTAGAAGCTGTTTCCGTAAGAGAAGATGGTGCCGTCAGGGTTGACGTTGACGTTGAAATCAGCATTGTCGATGTCAAGGCCGTGGACAGTCTGCTTAAAGTTGACGTGGGCAAGGCCATCGGTGTCGACATAGTGATCGTCAACAACACGGAACTCGGCGTTGGGGAGGACAGTCTTGACCAGCTGGGTGGCAGCACTGACGTAGTCTCCTCGCTTCTGGATGTTGCTGATAGCTGGGTCTGACTCGGCCTGTGTTGAGACTGTGTATTCTGAGGATCCTGGCATGCGGAACTTGCTCAAGTCAACGCCTCGCTTACCAAGAGAGACCTCGGTGGCATGGTATCGTTGAGGATGTGCCAGAACGTTGGCAGCCAGGCCAGTGAGGCCCAGAATGGCTGCAGACTTCATGCTGATTCAATAGTATATATGAGTAGATATAAAACGCCGTAGTTGGCTTTCTGACCTGCACAGGCGTTTGAGCTGAGCCTGGTATAATCTGCCTTGGAGACTTTTCACATTTCGGGGGACCATGATCCTGAATTTATACTCCTGTCTTTATACTCCTATCTGTCCCAACAATGAAACGAGCTTCCAGGTGATTGTTTCTAGGAGCCTGTTATCCAAAGTGATCACGGAGAGTCGAGCTTCCTGTTCGGTCTGTGTATCAGCGATGTGACCCTGAAAACATGAATTAGACCTGCCTGAAGATACTACTGTGTCCCCAGCGTTTGCCCTCAGCTACCTATCCAGGATTGGAGAGCAACTGGATTTGCCTCAATGGAGCAATAGGAAGGTGATCAGAGTAGCCTCGGCACTTATGGCTACGGCTACGTGTCGCAAGACCGATTTCCCGGGTTGCAACTCTAAATTGGCTAGATACGAGGGCAGATCATACCGACCAAGTGGAGGGCATCACGCTTGGCCTTGGACTTTTGGAAAGTAAGTGAAGAAGTCTGCGGCATAACCTCGCTACAAGTTGCCTGGCATTGACATGGCCTTGCCAAAACCATGGCAAATCAGCATTGATTGTGAATACTGGTGATGTGCTATGTCGCATTTATCCGGTATTTCCGTGCCGGATCACCGCTCTGTGCCTTGATTTCGGACATTTTCTGCTCATATTCGTGATGATCAATGCAGCCTGAAAACATACGTATTTGTATGATCAACCTGGCTATTACATAGGTTTCAATTGTCTTTGTTCCATTATGCGTAAACGGGCATGTGTACACAAATCTTTATTATGGAGATTCAACAAAGATTCCTTATTTCTCCTAGTTTCTAGGATATACAGGGGCTTTCCTAGACCAAGTCTCTGGAACTTCTTTGTCGGGTATAGTTCCGATGCCTCGCTTTTTCCATCAGCCACTAGACACTCCATTGATAGGACGGAACGATTCCTGATCTAAGGCTAGTTTACTAAACAATGACCGAATCGAACCAAAGCCTAAAAGGGCAACACGGCGGTGGCATCAAACATAAATCCCATTGCGGGATGCGGACCCAATATGAGGACCTGCCAAATCGGGCTTGTCAGCCGTCTTGGACAATTTGATTCATACAACTAGCTTAGTGAAAAGCATAACTTACCTCGTTTATTTTGCGGGGCCGATACCATTCAGTCTATTTCCAGATTCTAGATTTATCGTCAAGTTCATCCTCAATACTGCACGATCTTTGGGAGTCCTCGGCTTGTTTCAGTTGTTTCTTAGCCCATTCTAGTGTTGACGGGCAACGTTGCCAAAAGTAGCATTGAGAGCTTGTCGGCGAAGTGTAAAGACTCGGGTTGGTGGTTGTTGGCGTCACACAAATGCCCCCTTCCCCAACGTTGCCGAGGACTTGAGGATGTCTCGAGTGATAAGAAATAGTCAGTATTACAGGTGATTGCCAAGCTCGTCGGCCTCCATTGTGCCTAGCCAATCAAAGATGAAAATTTCAACCGAGGGTTCTGTAATCACATCAATTGACCGGTCGCATCGATCATATTGGGGCCGTGAGCCAAGGCTCACGATGCGACATCACCAGCAAGTACTCCGTCCCGGAGGTTGCATTTCCGGACGAACCAGCCCAACCCCAAAGATGCAGACTGTCGTGGAGTTGCATGAACAATGTCGCTTGGTAAGATAGGGTCTCAACGTCCCATCCCACGTACTAAGGATCACCAGCTGAGTTAAGAAGGTAACCACCAAAATGCGTCCCTAGTAGTCGTCACATACATCAGGCTTGCCTCAATCGGTAAAGACGGGGAATGGTAGTTCCCAAGATCCTCCAAATCAACTGCTTTAGTTAAACGCGGCCGACAGCCAGTTCGTGAAGGCTCCGAAACTGTTGTCGAAACGCCACGCCAGCATTAACCCCTCATCTAAGAACAGCATCACAGGATCGCCAAGGGCCCCAAACAAATTCTCTTCCTTCCCTTACAAACTTAGTGCCGTGCAAGACATTGAACATCAGGATATTTCCGGGGAGGGGGCTGTCCCAGATATCAACCAGATACCAATGCGGTCGGCCGCTGCCACATGGCGGTCAACTCTGATTCGGATAGAGTATTGGCGAGAGCATTAAACTCGTCCGGTGTTTGTAAGGCTTAGCTATTCCAGGACTACTCGGGACTTTTGTTCCTCAACTCAACAAGTTCCCTTCCTCGGCGCCAACTGCCCACAAAGGATTATCGATCTGTTGCTCGCCGGGTATTGTGTACAATGGCGAGGCTTCGAATCGGAATCCAATTTTCTTATTTTCATTCGGCAGGAATACATTGGTGATGCATTGTGGCATGGATAACTATTCCCAAACTGCCTTTGAAGGTATCGAGTGGCTCAAAAGCAAAGAGGTAGATGGATGGCTGTTGGTGACAAGTTGCACATCAAACGCGGCGCCTGCCCGATACAGAGCCAAGAGCACGACCCAAAACTCTGACTCGTAATCTGACTCGTAATTTTCAACTGC